GTCCTATGCATCTGATCTGGGGTTTCTCTGGGGAGGGTCCTATGCATTTGATCTTGGGTTTCTCTGAGGAGGGATCTATGCATTTGATCTGGAGTTTCTCTGGGGAGGGTCCTAGGCATTTGATTTGGAGTTTCTCTCGGGAGGATTCTATGTATAGGATCTAGAGTTTCTCTGGGGAGGATCCTATGTACTGATCTTACTACTTCGTTCTGAGATTTCCTGGATTCACAGATATTAATGACAACCATTTCCCTGTATGGACCACTGTTGTTCAACTCCTGGTGTCTGTTCCAACCTATTTATGACACATCTGCTCCATATACCACCTGCCTTTCCTATGCCTGGCATTTTTAAATCAAGAATTCTTTTCAGTCAAGTGCAGTAGTGTGTGCCTATTGTCCCAGCTACTGTACTGGGAAGACTGAGGCAGAAGGATTACCTGAGTTCAGGAGTTTCAGGGAATCCTGGGCAACATAGCAATAGCCTCATTCTCTCTCTCTCTCTCTCTCTCTCTCTCTCTCTCTCTTCCTCCTTCCCTTCATCTCGCCTTCTCTCTGTCTCTGGAAAAAAAATTCTTAGAAGTGTTTATGTAAACTTGAACATTTCTAGATTTTTCCTCTCCCTTTTGGCTATGCTTGGACTTGAACTAGGGCCTCACCCATGCTAGGCAAGCACTCTACCACCAAGCTACATCCCCAGCCCAGAAAGTCCAGATTTTAAAATGAATGTCATATTTTAATGATGTCAGTCTATCTCCTGTCCATCACCAGTGACCCTGGCACTGACCGTGTCTGCTTAGCTCACCTTTGCTTCTCTGGTACACTCTCCAAGCTTGTTCAGTGAATAAGCAAAGTCCCTATGGCGTGAATTGGACCCCATATTTACAGACATGACGCTGAGGCTCAGAGAGGCTCAGTAACTTGCTTCGGATCCCACATCTAAGCAACTGAAATGAGGATCCAGACTTGAGTCCAACTCCAAACCCAAGCTCTTCTCTCCTGTGCTCTCAGCTTCCCAGTCGAGAGCATTTATTCTGTATGCATTTGTCACTAAAGTTCCTGTAACCTCATACAAGGTGTTCTGGAATATAGCTTCTTGCCTAATGAAAACAGCTGGACTCTGGACACAGTCAGTCCATGGAGTACGACCTTGCCTGGGTTCCCAACAACAGACAGGAAACTGAAGGATAGCAATCGGTCCAAATGGCCCAGAGTTGCCAGGTGAGCCAGACCGGGATGAAGGGGTGATGAACCTGGCAGCTTTTGTTCTGTTGATGTGTCTACAGCTTCGTAGGCCACTTCAAGTCTCGACAGAAGCGGGAGGCAGAGCTGGGGGCTCGGGCCCTGGGGTTCACCAACATCTACGTGAAGAACCTGCATGTGGACATAGATGAACAGGGCCTTCAGGACCTCTTCTCCCAATTTGGTGGGTGTGTTCCCCAAAGGAGAAGGGGGAACACTATTATTCTTCCATGCCTGGGTCTGGTGGGAGGAGGGCTTCCCTGGGAGTTCCCGGGAACTTATAGGAAGGAAGGGAGCATGCTGGCCCTTTCCCAGCTCCCTGCTAAGCCAGTTTGGTCTCTCCTAGGAAAGATGCAGAGTGTCAAGGTGATGAGAGACAGCAGTGGACAATCCCGGGGCTTTGGCTTTGTCAACTTTGAGAAGCACGAGGAAGCTCAGAAGGTAGGTGCCTCCACAGCCCGGCTCCAGTAGAGAGGCCCCAGGCCACGACTGGAAAGCCAGATCATGAGTGGGCCTGTTACGTAGAGGGCAAGAAAGTGCCCTTCCTGGCCCAGGATACAAGGATCAAAGGCGCTGGCATTATCTTTTCTTGTTGGCTTCTAGGCCTAGAAGTTGAAAGAACTGAACATTCAGGCAGGGAAGAGAAAGCCTTCACTGTGTATAAATATTTACTAATAACTGACCTCTTTAGAAGCCTCTTCACCCTCAAATATTTCTCCCCACACTGGTTAAAAAAATCCTAAACACTGAGTCAGTATGCGTTTGGGTCTGACTTCTGCTGCTTTCTGTGGATAAACAAATGGGAATTTGGTTCTCCACATGCATTACAAAAAGAACCTGGTTGGTTCCTCAGTGTTCTGGCAGAAGATTCAGGATTTTATACCATCTAACAGGCTTGTGTCATTTAAGAGAAGAAAACGCTTGGGGCTGGAAAGATGGGCCAGCAGTTAAGAATACTTGTTGCTCTTCCAGAGATCACTGAATTCAATTCCCAGCATCCCCATCAGGTGGCTTATAATTGACTATAACTCCAGTTCCAGGGAATGGCACCCTCTTGTGGCCTTCTTGAGACCTACCTACCCACAGGTGGCATACTCACACACAGATACACACCACACACATGCATTAAAATTTTTTTAATGTTTGAAAAAAGACTGATGCAGCTGAAAGATGGTTAAGGACACTGTGGTTAAGAACATTGGCTGCTCTTCTGGAGGACCCAGGTTCAATTCCCAGCACCCACATGACAGCTCACAACCATCTATAACTCTAGTTCCAGGGGATCTGGGCACCCTCTTTTGGCCTCTATGGTCACCATACACAAGCAGAAATGCAAACACTTATACACATCAAATAATAAATAATAATGAAAACATTAAAGAGAAGTTTATGGTATTTTTGAGACAGGGTTTCTCTGTGTAACAGTTCTGACTGTCCTGGAACTCTCTTGGTAGACCAGGCTGGCCTTGAACTCACTGAGATCTGCCTGCGTCTGCTTCCCAAGTGCTAGGATTAAAGACATGCACCAAACATTGCCTGACCTATTCTGTTTTTAAAAAATAAAACCTTAATCAAAAATTTAAAATCCAGCTTGGCATTGGTGGCACCTTTAATTCCAGCACTTAGGAAGCAGAGGCAGGCGGATCTCAGTGAGTTCGAGGCCAGCCTGGTCTACAGAGTGAGTTCTAGGACAGCTTCCAAAGCTACAGAGAAATCCGGCCTTGAAAAAAATAAATAAATAAATAAATAAATAAATAGCCTTATGCCATATCTTTAAAAAGTGATTGTCCTGTAAGTGACCTTTTCCCAGAATGAATTATTCCCAGAGAGGAAGGTCTGCCTTCCTCTCAGAATTATTCTCAGAAAGGTGGCCTTTTCTGGCCCCAGAGGCAGGATTGGAGACAGGGCCCCATCCACACGGTTCACCATGTGCCTGCTTCTGCTCTCCAGGCCGTGGACCACATGAACGGGAAGGATGTGAACGGGCAGCAGCTGTATGTGGGTCGGGCCCAGAAGCGGGCAGAGCGGCAGAGTGAGCTGAAGCGCAGGTTTGAGCAGATGAAGCAGGAGAGGCAGAACCGTTATCAGGTGAGGCCAGGCCTCATGGAGGCTGCAGCTCCTGTCTGAAGGGGAAATGGGGATGGGGCACTCTGAGTGTGACTCCTTTCTCTAGCCACCCTCCTTCTAGAAACATGGCTCAGGGCCAAAATCAGATGAGCTCTGGGGTAGGCATCACCACCTGGCTTGTGAGAGAGAAGAGGCACCACAAAGGGCTGTTTGGAATGCTGTCAACTTCAGTGTTCAGTGCCCACTTCATCCTCCGGCGATGACCAAGAACGCCTTACATATTGCCAGGTGCCTCTAGGCTGAGAATAATCAGGCGGAATACATTCCATCCGGAAGCTGGCATGTTGTTTAGCCGTTGTAGTCACATTAAGTCGTGGCTCGGTCGGCAAAGGGCTTGCTGTGCAAACATGAGCACTTGAGTTTGACCCCCAGTGACCCCCATGAGAACCGGGTATGGCAGCACACAGCTTAATGCAAACACCGGGTGGATCCCTGGGGCTTACCGACCCACCAGGCTGATGATCCTCAGCTCCCAGCGAAGAGATCAGGTCTCAGAAAACAAGGACTGACTGAGGAAGGCAGCTAAGGTTATCTGCTGGCCTCTGCATGTGCACATACCCCAAAATTCCCTGAAGTTAACTGTTGGCTTTTTTTTTTTTAAAAAAAGATGTATTTATGTGTATGAGTATTTGCCTGAATTTATGTAAGTTATTAGGTACATGCCTGTCACCTGTGGACGTCAGAAGACGGCATCAGAGCCTTTGGAACCTGAGTTATAGATGCTTGTGTGCTCTAGAAAATGAACCTGGGTCCTTGTCAAGTGCAACAAGTACTCTTAACTGCTGAGTCATCTCTCTAGCCCCTTCACCATCTGTGTGTGTGTGTGTGTGTGTGTGTGTGTGTGTGTGTGTGTGTGTGTGTGTGTGTAACTGCTCTGGCTGTCCTGGAACTCACTCTGTAGACCAGGCTGGCCTCAGACTCACAGAGATCTGCCTGCCTCTGCCCCTGAGTGCTGGCATTAAGGGTGTGCGCCACCACTGCCCTGCCCTTGTCATCATTTTTGAGACAGAGACTTATCATATTGTTCTGGTTGGCCTGGAACTCACTATGTAGACCAGGCTGGCCCTGATCCTCCTGTCTCTTCCTCCCATGTGCTGGGATTGCAGCCAGGAGCCACCACGCCCTACAAGTTAGCTAGTTAAAGTTAATAGTGTAGATCAGTACAATGTAACTTTTTGGAGATGAACTTCTTTAAATTTTTTAATAAGAGAGTTTTAGATTTTATGGAGAATGTCCATGCATGTATACATATGCTCACATACATATATCCACATGTAATAGTGCTTAGTGAGAGACCACTTTCTTCTCACTGCAGAGACACTTGAGAATGTCTAGAACTTTCAGTTGTCACATTCGGGGAGGAGGGGATGCTGGCAAACCTGCTGTGGTGGGCTGCACAGTGCACACACAGAGCTGGCCCAAAAGGCTGTGCTGCAGTTTTGATATCGCTAGGATTGGCCGGTCAGGCATTCTGCCTACAGTCATTCCACCCAGCCTTCCAGAGAGCTGTGTGGCTGAGCTCTGAGTCTCACCCAGCCTGCTATAGCTCTGAGACCTTCTTCTGTGGTCCCCATGTGTGCAATGGGAGGCTGGCTAGGATCTGTGCGGGTGTGTGGGAGCAGTTGCGGGCCTTAGACATTATGGGAGCTGCAGCAGCTGGGGGCAGGCAGGCTAATTGGCCACATGAGGCTGAGTCCTGCATGTCCCCTGTGGCCCTGCCAGCCACTGACCCCATGCCAGGCAGTCTGGGACAAGAAGGGAAGGGGCATTGAGCAGTATCCCTTCTTCCAGGGTGTGAACCTCTACGTGAAGAACCTGGATGACTCCATTAATGACGAGAGGTTGAAGGAAGTTTTCTCTGCCTATGGAGTGATCACCAGTGCTAAGGTGAGGACCGCAGCACTCCCTGTCCTGCCCTTCACGCTCTCACCCCTGCAGAACCCCCAGCTTCTCACCCTTGCACAACCCCAGCCTCTTGCTTGGCTTCCAGGGACTTTGGGTTGAGTTCTTCTTTCTGGTTCTGGCCCACACCATTGGAGGTCTATCAGCAACCTTGTCTGGGTGGGATGGGGAGAAATTAAACATTTACTCTAGCTGTAGAGTTGGGCTTCATGCAATATAACCTTGTTTTATTCACCATCCATAGATACCATATATGTCAGATTCCAGAAACTTACCCTATTTCTGGGCCTCAGTTTACCCATCTGGAAAACGAGCTGTCCCTTGTCCCTCTTCACTCATTCTTCCTCATTTGCTGAGTGCTAGCTGTGTGCCAGGCCTGCGAAGTCCCTAAGAGGCGACAAATGGCCGTTCTGCCCAGCAGTTCCATGATTGTGAAGGAGGCTGAGTCTATGTCTCATTCACAAGATGAAGGTGAAGCGTGGCCTGTGTGGTTCACAGCCCTGGCTTCTCATCTGGGTCAGACAGGATGCACAAAGAATTCTAGGGCATGACCTGAACATCCGACTTTCTTTTTTTAACTTAAAACTTTATTACATTTTGTTATATATGTGTAGGTACACACATGCCCACAATTCAGAGGTCAACCTGTGCATGTCAGTTTTCCTCCTTCCACTGTGTGGGCCTGAGGGATCGAACTCAAGTCATCAGGCTTGGTAGCAGGGGCCTTTACCCGCTGCGCCACCTCTCCAGCCCCGGGGACATTTGACTTTATCAAAGCAGCCCAGGTGATTATAAGATGGTCCAGTATTTATCCATTTCACGCCAGACTCTGTGGCAAGCATATACAGATAACTAAGCTGTGTTTCATGCCTTCGAGGACTTTATGGTCTAGTGATGAGGTCAGATGCATCACTATTGTGAGATGGGAGGTCTGGACTAGGGGAGAACTCAGTTCCTAAAGGGCTTGCCTTGGTAGCGCGAGGACCTGTTCTGGCCTAAGAACACAGGTAAGATAAAAGACCAGGTGTGGTGGCGTGGCGCCGTGTGCCGTGGTGCGGTGCCATGCACTGTGGTGTAGCGACGTGTGAGGCGGCATGTGAGGTACTGCGTGGCCGTGTGAGGCGTTGCGGCTCTGCGGTGGCGCAGCACCGTGTACTGTAACCCCAGACAGGCAGATTGCTGGAGCTTGCTGATCTGTCTGTCAGTCTCTCCAACTTGAGACCCTGTTACAGAACAAAGATGGATATCACTTGAGGAATGACACCCATGGTTGTCTTCTGGTCTCTGTAGACACATGCATGTTAACCTGCACACATATGAACATGTGTTTCTGCACATGTGCACACACATATGCATACACGCAGATGATAGGAGGCAGGGCTGGAGATAGAGATACAGGGCTCAGGGAGAAAGGAGGGGGCTTCCTGGAGGAAGTGGAGATGGCTTTCAGCTTGACTATGAGGAGATTGGAACAGGGATAGAGAGGGGGTTATATAATGGGGATTTGTCTAATTTTTTTAGATTTATTTATTTATTATGTATATAGTGTTCTGCCTGCATGTCCTAAGAGGCCATCAAACCTCATTAGAGATGGTTGTGAGCCACTATGTGGTTGCTGGGAATTGAACTCAGGACCGCAGGAAGAACAGCCAGTGCTCTTAACTACTGAGCCATCTCTCCAGCCCCAGCAGATAGTTTTTAAAAGGGAACAATAAAGTTAGTAAGGCTTGAGTGGAATTTGCTGTGAACTTGCCAGTAGCTTATTTACAGTAGGCAATGGACTCACCTTTGTTCATTTAATTTTTATTGCATTTTATATAAAATAGAAAATACAGAGTCGGGCGGTGGTGGCACACACCTTTAATCCCAGCACGCCGGAGGCAGAGGCAGGTGGATCTCTGTGAGTTTGAGGCCAGCCTGGCCTATAATAGCTAGTGCCAGGATAGGCTCCAAAGCTACAGAGAAACCCTGTCTTGAAAAACAAAACAAAACAAAACAAAAAACCAAAAATCAAAACACACACACACACACTATCTGCTAACAGAAATTCTTAACAATATTTTTGCATCAAGACTTCTGGGGGCTGGAGAGATGGCTCAGAGGTTAGAAGCACTGGCTGCTCTTCCAGAGGTCCTGAGTTTAATTCCCAGCACCCACATGGTGGCTCACAGCCATCCATAATGAGATCTGGTGCCTCCTTCTAGCCTGCAGCTGTACATGCAGGCAGAACACTGTATACATAATAAATATATAAATCTTTTAAAAAAAAAGACCTCTGGTCCCTGAGTTGGAGACAGGGTAAGGGCGCATGCTGTGCAAACATGAAGACCTGAGTTCAAATCCCCATAGCCTATGTAAAAACCTAACTCTGCTCATGTATGTGCTTGTAACCCCAGTACTATGTTGGGTAGAGACAGGAGGATGGCAGGGCCTGGCTGGCTTTCAGCCTACCTTCAGGTACAGTGAGAGATTCTGTCTCAAAGGAATAAGGTAGAGAGTGATAGAGCAAGATGTCTAACATCCTTCTTCAGCCTCTGTGTGTACATGACACACACCGTATGCACACATGTGCACACACATCCTCATGCACACAGTGCACACACACCCACATGCACACACATGCATGCATACACATGCAATGACATCTGGTCCTGATGAGTTTTTGGTTTCCTAAAAAAAATATTTTGCTTAGAGTAAAATTAATAAGATTGTCAGAGCCGAGCAGTGGTGGCACACACCTTTAATCCCAGCTGTGCCTCCCTAGTCAGGAGTACGGGTGTAAGCCACAAAGTCTCGTGAAGTATGGGGCACACAGTAGGCCTCAGCAAACGATGAGAGTGCGGTCCGTCCCTCTGTCACAGGCTGCCACAGGATGTGCTCAGTGCTGGATGTGGTCCCAGGGGAGAAGCTTGTATCCCAGGAGTCTTGCTTCCCTGCGCCCAGCAACCCTTGTCTTGTCTTGCTTTTAGGTGATGACAGAAAGTAGCCACAGCAAGGGGTTTGGCTTTGTCTGCTTTTCCTCTCCAGAAGAGGCAACAAAGGCTGTAACCGAGATGAATGGGCGCATCGTGGGTACTAAGCCTCTGTATGTGGCCCTGGCGCAGCGCAAGGAAGAGCGGAAGGCCATCTTGACCAACCAGTATAGGCGACAGCTGTCACGCTCTGTCTTGAGCTCCTTCCAGCAACCTACCAACTACTTAGTGCCTGCTGTGTCCCAGGTGACAGTGCGCCTACAGCTCCCACAGGGGCACGGAATTTCACAAATATAGGTTCTGTTGAAAACACCTTGGGCAGCTGCTCCAACCCCTTGAAGTCTCACTTGCCCCATCTTTAAAGGGGCATAGCATGCTATCTTGTCTTCCAGTCTGTGTGAGGTTCCTGAGTGTTGTATGGAAGGGACTGTGTGGTTAGATGAGTTTGGGAGGCCTTACATTAAGTATTGAAGCCTAAAGTGGGGTGGCGGTGGTGCACACCTTTAATCCCAGCCTTCAGGAGGCAGAGGTAGGTGGATCTCTGTGAGTTCAAAGCCAGCCTGGTCTATAGAGCAAGTTCCAGGACAGCCAACATTATACAGAGATACCTCTGTCTCAAAAAAAAAATGTAACCTCAATTACTTTATTGTATACATTATCTTCTCCAGTTATGTCAGAATCCATTGGCTCTCCAAAGCAGCCATAGTGCTAGTAGCATTTTCCCAACTCAGACAGATACGTCTGCACCTTGGCATGACCTGGCTGTTCATGTTCTGAGGAGCATGGCTAGGGGATTGACACCCTGGAACTTAGAACAGTAGAAAGATATGCATGACTGAAGACCACTGGCTTGGTAACACCTTTAGCAGCCGGTTGTGCTGCCAAGACCTGGAGAAAGTGACATACTTTATCTAGGTCACTGATCTAGGGTAAGGAACAATGGTTGAAGAAATCTGCGATCTTACTCGGAGGGGTTTAGGGATAAAGGACACCCTGAGATGGGAGAATGGCGCGCTCGTGTTAGCTTTGTAGGCCTGAGTTATCTCCTGCAGGGGATAGTGCAGTTCTTGCAATGGTGTCCCCGAGAAGATGCAGAGCGCCTCTCACCCTGGGTCCTCTTCTCCCACAGTCTACAGCACAGGCCATGTACTATGGTTCTGGCTCCATGGCTCCCATGCAGCCTGACCCCAGGTGGACAGCCCAGTCACATGGACATTCGTGTAAGTGACCCAGCCCTTCTATGTTCAGCAAGGCTTGTGGGTGTGAGCCTGAAAAGAAGAGGCAGTATAGCAGGGTGGTGGTGGCACATGCCTTTAATCCCAGCGCTTGGGAGGCAGAGGCAGAAGGATCTCAGTGAGTTCAACCTGGTAGGCCAACCTGGTCTACCAAGTGAGTTCCAGCACAGCCAGGGCCACACAGAGAAACCCTGTCTCAAAACCCTCCCTCCCTCCCCCCCAAAGGAGGCAGTATATAACTCTGGGGCCAAGGCTCACTTTGCATTTCTGAGTTGGTTCCTTCCCTCCTCTGAGCCTCAGTTACCCCTTTCCAACTTGGGACCAAATCAAATGTTCATGTAGCAGCAAGCACTGTGGCAACCCCGACAAGGACCCAGTGTGGCTATTGTCAGTTATCTCCACAAGCTACTCTGATTTGGGGCTTAAAATTCTTGCTGAGCAGAGGAAAAAAAGAAAAAAAAAAAGAAACTCCTTTGGCTAAGCTGTTGCTGAGTGGCCTTCTAAGCTCCAAGCTTACACTCAGGTCTCTTGGGACTAAAGTGAAGGATCAGAACTTCAGGGCCTGGAGAGATGTGAGTGGGTTTCGTCTTTTGCAGGTTTCTATACAATCTCCCTAGAGTTCTTGGTCTAGGTAAATCGACTCTCTTTCTCTGCTATGGATTTCTAGTTCCTCCCCAGCCCTGGGAACTTCAGGCCACAGTGTGCTGCTTTGACCATAACCCAAACCCTCTGTTTTTCTCTGGGCTGCCTGCCCTCCAGCCGCCTCGGTGGTCCAGTCCCTAAGCACCATGCAGCACTCCTATATTCGCCTCGGCAGTGCCAGCCAGGCCTCCAGCCAGATGCCTCACATGCATAGTGTGGGTGAGTGAGCAAGGCCGAGATCTGGGATGGATGGGTGTCAGTGGGGAGCAAAATCTTATCCCTGGGGCTGGCAGTGGAGGGGAGTTTAGATCAAGCTCCATGGGAAACCTGCTTTCTTGGTGAGCCAGGCCAGCTTCAGAGGCTGTCTGTAATATAAATGTTAGCTTGGCATCCAGCCCCTGGGAGTCACTCTGTGCCCCTTGCTGATGGCTATCTCTCCAGACTTAATCTTTAAATAGGGATACAAATAGTAGGCCCATTTTGTTATGAGGGTTGGTGAGTTCCCAGATGGGAGGATTCGAGTCTTATTAAATATTGAAACTGCTGTGGCTCGAAGACAAGAGTATCTGTTGGCCAGTATCCTCACATCTCTGTGCTGGCCCTATGTTCAGCCCTGGGGCTTCTTTGGGGATTCCTCATGAATGAGCCAGATGAAATCCCTGGTCTTCTCTTGTTGTCAGGCTTCAACATACATCCTCCTTGTTATTTATTTTTTTTTTAAGATTTTAATGTGCATTTCATTTTTTAATCTTTTTTAATAAATATTTATTAGTTACTATGTATACAATATTCTGTCTGTCTGTATGACTGCAGGCCAGAAGAGGACACCAGACCTCATTACAGATGGCTGTGAGCCACCATGTGGTTGCTGGAAATTGAACTCAGAACCTTTGGAAGAGCAGGCAATGCTCTTAACCACTGAGCCATCTTTCCAACCCTTTCCTTGTTATATTTTTCAACTGTAGTAAATATACACAATATAAAATTTACTGCTTTATTATTTTTTTTAAAGATTTACTTTTATTTTCTGTGCACGAGTTGGATGTATGTGCACCATATGCATGCAGTACCCACAGAGGCCAAAAGAGGGTGCTGGATACCCTGGAACTAGAGTTACAGTCAGTTGTATGTTGCTATGTGGGTGCTTGGAAGTGAATCCCAGTACTCCACAAGAACAGTGAGAGTTTTAGTACTTTTTTTAAATGTTCGTGTTTTATCTGTGTGCGTATCTGTGTGAGGATGTCAGACCCCTTGAACTGGAGTCATAGACAGGTGTGAGCTGCCATGTGGGTGCTGGAAATTGAACACTGGTCCTATGGAAGAGCAGGCAGTGCTCTTATCCACTGAGCCATTTCTCCAGCCCCGAGCATTGCTATTTTTAAGTCCATAGTTTAGTGGCATCCAGTCTGTTCCCACTGTGGAGTGTGAACTGCAGTATTTTCCGCAATCGCCTTTAGAGCCTTCTGACTTATAAAACTGGACTCCCCATTATCCAGAGTTCTTCATTTTATCCTTTCTGGCCCCTGAAAAACCACCATTCAATTTTTGGCTCTTTGAATTTTCAGTGGCTCTTTGCCAAAAGGCTGAGAAGCAATTGTCTTTATGAATTTGAGTATGGTTACTTCATGCAAGTGGAATCGGACTGTCAGTCCTTTGTGACTGACTTTCACTTAGCACAGTGTCCTCAAGATTCAGGGATGTTCCAGCATGTAGCAGTTTCCTGCATAGGGAGATTTTGGTTATGCATTCATTTACCTGTTGATGAGCATACAAACTGAGCTCTCTTCCACCTGTGAGCTCTCGTCCATGAATACTGCCACTATAAACACGGACTTACAGCTCTCTCCTTGAAACCCTGCTTTCAATTCTTTTGAGCACATGTCCAGAGCTGAAATTGCTGGATGTGTTGTATATTGTATTTCTATCATTGCTGTCTACCCGACATTCTTGTCTACAGTACACAAATTTCTTTACTGCCCCACCGAAATTTGCCATCTATTTTTTTCTAAGTGGTTATTTGAAACCTTCTTCTTCTTATTATTTTTTTACAGTCAACATTGGTACTCAGACGACAGGACCAGGTGGGGAGGGATGCTCTATTCCAGGCCAGTCTCTCCTGACACATAGAGGACCTTCGTCTGCACACAGTGCCCATGGGGTAAGGCTGCCTACTCATTGTGGTCTCCTGGTTCATAAATTTGGCTAAAGTGTTTTCTCTCTGGTATTTGCTTTTCTTGGCTTCTAAAATTTTATTTACTATTATGTGTAATCAGTCAAAGAGCATTCCTACTAACAGGGGAGAAAGAACCATGGTCACATTTTATTGGTTGCAAACATTTTGTCTAGGATATTGCCAAAATGAATTTGAATTTCCTTTGAGTATCAGAAGGAATTCTAAGAATATACTGAGTACTGAATGAATGAGATTAAGCTTCAAAATAGGACTAAAAAAATGTTTATTATAATTAAACAAAAGGTTATGCATCTCTTTTTTCCCCTCCAAAAGTTTCAAATTCAACATTATTGAAGCCTGTCTAGAATTTCAATACGTCTTGTTCTAATGATTTCTTGCAAAACAAACAACAGTATTTAAACAGCAATATCTACTTTTAAAGTTAGCAAGACGTAGAGGACTGAAGGAGAAGGCAAGAGTTCTAGACCAGCCCAGGTTACCTAGTGAGTTCTAGGCCATCCTGAACTATATAGGTCTTGTCTCAACACACACGCACACACACATGCACCATTGAGATGTATGCTTACTGCTGATGTGTTCGTAAAGCTTGTCAAGAAGAGCGCTTTTTTGGGCTCAGAGTAGTTAGTGAAGTGTGACTGTCGTGTGACTGTTTTTGAAGGGCCTTCATTGGGTCACAGCATCTCTGAGCGTAACTCTGTCTTCTAGTCCACGCCCCTGTTAGGGATTCTCTGTCCCACCTGATGGTGCAGACGTTGCTTCCCTCTTCCAGAACCTTTCCTGGAGGTTTATGTTCACCCGATGGGGTAAGTGTATGAGGCCTTTCCCATCCATATGGTTAAGGAATGTGTTCCTGGCACCATGTGCAGGTCCAGGAGTCGGCTGTATATGTCCCTGGCCATCAGCCTCTGACTGTGTCCATGCTGACTGCTGCACCCCTGCATGAACAGAAACAAATGATTGGTGAGTGGCTGGCTCTCCCATCCTGGGGCAGGTAGGAGGGCTGAGAGCTGCCTAGCCTGCTGGGAACAGCTTGAGTGAGGACAGACTTGGGAGCGAGGTAGTTTCATCTCAGCTGCCTTGCCTTTGCCTTCCTGCCCTAGAACATTAGTGACTGATGCTCCCAGAGCTTTTTCCAGCTGACGTGGACTCTAGGTGGGAGATACCTGGATGTGGAACAGGGTCAAGAAGTAGAGTCGGAGAATGCCCTTGGGTTTCTGCTGGGAAACAGTCCAGGCTGGTCATTTCATGTCTTCACACCTTTTCCAGGGGGTGCCCTGGTCAGATTTCATCCGTCTCCTGGCGCCCACTGCAGGAGGTGGGAAATAACCATGTGGTGGGTAAACACGGATGGTTCCCTCTGAACTCTGAGCTCCAAGTGCCGTTAATCTCTAGCCCTGGAGTTTCTGACAGGCTCCAACAAAAGATGGCACTCGTGGGGACTGGGGAGATGGTTCAATAGGTCAGAGTGCTTCCTGTGTAAACTTGAGGGCCTGTGTTTGAATCTCTAGCTCCCACATAGAAGCTGGTCATGCCTGCGTGCTCCTGTAACTCCAGAGTCGTGGGATGAGGAGAGGGAGATGGCAGGAACTTTTTGGCCAACCCACCTAGCAGAACAGGCAGCTTCAGGCCAGCGAGAGGCACTGTCTCCAGGGAATAAGGTGCAGAGTGATAGAACAGGATACCCGATGTCCTCCTCCAGCCTCGGACACACAGACCTGTGCGCACACACGTACCACATGCACGCACACAACACACACGCATGCACATGTACACGAATGTGATGTTACTAATGTTGGAATGAACGAGCAACCTGTTCCTGGTCGGCACACTCTCCATGACCACGCAGACCTTGAGCCCCTTCGCTGAAGGCCCTCATTGCCACTGCTTCATTGTTTATTTAGGTTACCCACTAGGTTTTGTCACTTTATGTCCCACAACACAGAAGAAAATTACATACGCCTGATGTCTGTAAACAGTGTCACGTCTTTATGGGAAGACCTTTCTACTCCCACTTAAGCACCCCCACTCTGGAGTGTCCCTCCATTCGTTGTCAAGATGAGCAGACACTGAAACTAGGTTGTACTGCTAAAAATACCTGATGGTGGAAGGTAAATTTATGCTGTGTGTACAATCCGAAGTCTCAAGTTGAGCATTACATCCTGTCTGGAATCCCAGTGTGTCCAGTGAGAACCGCTTCTCCCAAATGGAGTCTTGAAACCTAACTGACTTTGCCATAGATCTCTTCACATATAATCTTCCCCTCGGCCCTTCAGATTGTCCTCTGAGGCGGGTTTGCGATGCCCACTTCATAGAGGTGGAAAGAGAAGCTTCCAGTAAGGTTAAATGACACAGCTTGGGGTGACAGGTTCTAGGGCGAGATCCCAGACACCCTCATTGCTTCACTCCATGGCTGCCACCACTCCCGGGTGCTGGACTTTGAGGCAGGTGTGTGCGTAAGCTCTCAGGTTGTTCCACACAGGGGAGCGTCTCTACTCCCTCATCCACGATACCTGCGCCCCACTGACTGGCAAGATCACAGGCATGCTGCTGGAGATGGACAACCTGGAGCTTCTGTTTTTGCTGGAGTCCCCAGAGTCCCTCCATGCCAAGGCAGGTGGAGGTTGGGTGGCAGTGCAGCAAAGAGGAAGGGCTATTCTCGATAGGTTACGGCAGTCGACGCCAATCTGCTGGATTTCAGCCGAGGACTTGCGACTTCAGTCCCTCCACAGATGAGCTCTGTGTAGCTCTCTAGCGAAGCTTCAGTACAAGTAGCCATGTTCTGATTGTATAGAGTCATGTCCAGCAGTGATACCTCTATCTGAGAAGGTGGTCGTGGGGCTGGGATCTTAGGAGTGGCAGAGTATGAGGGTCCCATGAATCCTTTACCATGCTGAGGCAAGGGAAGCCATGGCTCTTCTGGGACCTTATTGGGCAACTGCTCTAAGCCCCTCTTTCTTGTGTCCTGTAGATAGAAGAGGCGCTGGCAGTGCTGTGGGCTCATCAGGAACTGGAGTCAGCAGAAAGCAACAGGAACTGAACACTGTGGGTGGCTGGGGGTGGGAGGACCCACGGCAGAGCAGCTGAGTTGCTGTCCTGAGACCCTGGAGAACACCCCACGGAGGCTGACAATCAAATACTCGCTGTGATGTGTTGGTGGCTTTGTTCGGTGAAGCTGACTGAGACACAGGAGACACACACAGTAACCGGAGTGTTCTCATGCCAGGTGTCCTGCCAGGCCTCAAGGTTTACTGGCTGGCTCCGTTCACTCGTCTGAAGGCTTGGCCTGCTGTGAGTCAGTCTACCTTCTCAAGACTGGGTGTCTTATATACTTTGGGAACATTTTTTTTTCCTTCCCCCACTAAGATTGGAACCTGCACTCCCTTGACTTCCCAGTACAGCATTTCTGCTCATGGTTCTAAGGTCCTGTGAATGTTAACTTATTTCCTGACTGGTCTCTCTGTTGTCGAGCTTTAGATGTGGAACGAAGGCTGGACAGCGTCCACTGCTAATTTTTTTCTTTTGTATATTAAAAAATGCTGCAAAATCTGTCTTGCCTCCCAGGAGGCTTTCTTGTGTCTGAGGGAGGGTGGGGCAGAGAAAAAGATTTATGGATTGTAACTTTGGCTCTAAGAAATTAGAACCAGAACCCCAAACAAGTGCCGAAATACACAGAAAGTGTGCATATTAGATTAAGAGCCCCACCAGGAGCGGAGCTCAGGTATATGAAAGCTCTAAACTACAAACTGGCCATCAACAGCAGACGGTTAAGTGGGGACCATCATGCAATGGACTGAGCAAATGGACTAAAGCTCTGGGTAGCCATATCTGAAGTATGTGGCATCTCTGCAGGTCAGGTAAATACCACAGAAGTCAGCAATTGCATGTAGGTCTCAGCTGACCAAATGTTGTGTAATGTACTTAGGAATCCCATAGAAATATACTAGATTAACATACTAGATTTAGGGTTTCCACTCCTAAATAGGGAGCTCCTCCCAAGGTTCTTCTGGGAAGTTCGTGCTCACCTCTTTAAGGGGGTTCAGCCCTCAGCTCCTTGTTTTCCCCATACCCATGTGTCCAGAGCAGTGGTGAGGGTACACTGGTTCACTGGTACTGTCACAAGTTCACTACAACAAATCCAACAGGGTCCTGTTATTCTTTGTCCTCCCCACCCCAGTGAAGGCTGTTTCAAACTCCTTACACCCCCAGTCTCCAGCCCACTGCTACCCACGCAGCTTCTCCCCCTTCTTTTCATATGCTCAATGGTGGCATTTCCTTAGGCCTGACCCTCACTCTTCTCTCTTCACGTTCTTTTCCGTACCCAATTTACAACCCCAACTTATTTATTTATTTATTTAATGTGCACTAGCATGCACATCCATGTGAGGGTATCAGATCCTCTGGAATTAGAGTTACAGACAGAACGTAATCCACCATATAAACAAACTGAAAAATAAAAACCACACGATCATCTCATTAGATGCAAAATAAAGCTTTCGACAAAATACAACACCCCTCCATGATAAAGGTCTTGGAGACAGCAGGGATACAAGAAACACACCTAAACATAAGAAAGGCAATATACAACAAGCCAAAGCCAACACAAACTAAATGGAGAGAAACTCCCAGCGATCCCACTAAAATCAGGAAAAAGACAAGGTTGTCCACTCTCTCCATATCTATTCAATATAGTTCTTGAGGTCCTAGCTAGAGAGCAGTTAGACACCAAAAGGAGATCAAGGGGATACAAATCAGAAAAGAAGTCAAACTCTCACTATTTGCTGATATGATAGTTTACATAAGCGACCCCAAAAAATACTACCAAGGAACTTCTACAACTCATAAACACTTTCAGTAATGTAGCAGGATACAAAATTAACTCAAAAAAAATCAGTAGCCCTCCTGTACACAGATGATAAATGGGCTGAGAAAGAGATCAGGGAAACATCACCATTCACAATAGCCACAAATAGCATAAAATATCTCAGAGTAACTCTAATCAAACAAGTGGAAGACTTGTATGACAAGAACTTTAAATCTTTGAAGAAAGAAATTGAAGATACCAGAAAATGGAAAGATCTCCTATGCTCTTGGGTAGGTAGAATTAACATAGTAAAAATGGCAATCTTACCAAAAGCAATCTACAGAATCAATGCAATGCCCAACAAAATCCCAGCAAAATTCTTCACAGACCTTGAAAGAACGGTACTCAACTTCATATGGTAAAGCAAATAACTCAGAATAGCCAAAACAATCTTGTACAATAAAAGAACTTCTGGAGGCATCACAATCCCTGACTTCAAACTCTACTACAGAGCTACAGCACTAAAAACAGCCTGGCATTGGCATAAAAACAGATAGGAGGACCAATGGAACCGAATCGAAGACCCGGATATTAATCCACACACCTTCAAACACCTGATTTTTGATAGAGAAGCAAAAAATATGAAATGGAAAAAAGAAAGCATATTTAACAAGTGGTGCTGGCATAACTGGATATCAACATGTAGAAGAATGAAAATAGACCCATATCTATCACCATGCACAAAACTCAAGTCCAAATGGATCAAAGACCTCAACATAAAGCCAGCCACACTGAACCTTATAGAAGAGAAAGTGGGAAGCACACTTGAACACATCGGCACAGGGAACCACTTCCTAAATATAACCCCAGCAGCACAGACACTGAGACTTTATTAATTGAGAGAAACAATTAATAAATGGGACCTCCTAAAACTGAAAAGCTTCTGTAAAGCAAAGGACACAGTCAACAAGACAAAACAACAGCCTACAGAATGGGAAAAGATCTTCACTAACCCCACATCAGAGGTCTGATCTCCAAAATATACAAAGAACTCAAGAAATTAGACACCAAAAGATCACATAGTCCAATAAAAGGAGTACAGACCTAAACAGAGAACTCTCAACAGAGGAATCTAAAATGGCTGAAAGACACTTAAGAAAATGGTCAACATCCTTAGTCATCAGAGAATGCAAATCAAAACAACTGAGATTCCATCTTACACCTGTAAGAATGGCCAAGATAAAACACGATGACAACTTATGCTGGAGAGGGTGTGGGGAAAAGGGAACACTTCTGCATTGCTGGTGGAAATGCAAGCTGGTACAGCCCCTTTGGATGTCAGTGCGGCAATTTCTCAGAAAATTAGGAATCAATCTTCTTTAAGACCTAGTAATACCACTTTGGGGTATATATCCAAAGGATGCTCAATTGTGCCACAAAGACATCTGTTCAACTATATTCATAGCAGCTGTTTGTTATAGCCAGAACCTGGAAACAACCTAAATGCCCCTCGACCTAAGAATGGATAAGGAAAATGTGGTACATTTTACACAATGGAGTACTACACAACAGGAAAAAAATCTTGAATTTTGCAGGCAAATGGATCTAGAAAACATCATTTTGAGTGAGGTAACCCAGACCCAGAAAGACAATTATCACATGTACTCACTTCTAAGTGGTTTTAAAACAAAAAGCAAAGAAAACTAGCCTATAAATCAATCCCAGAGAATCTAGACAACAATGAGGATCCTAAGAGAGACATACATAGATCTAATCTACATGGGAAGTAGAAAAAGACAAATCTCCTGAGTAAATTGGGAACATGGGGACCTTGGGAGAGGGTTGAAGGGGAGAAGAGAGGCAGGGAGAGGAGCAGAGAAAAATGCAGAGCTCAATAAAAATCAATTAAAAAAAAGTTATAGTTGTGAGCTGCCATGTGGGTACTGGGAATTGAACCCGGGTCCTCTGGAAAGGCAGCCAGTAATCTCAAGTGCTGAGCCACCTCTCCAGTTCCCTACAACTCTACAACCCCATTTTCATTCGTACTTAGTTGAGGAAGCTCCTGGACCACAGATCTTATGCCCTACTTACTCTTAGTTCTTAAGACTCTCAGTAACAAGTCCAATTCACTATAGTCATGTTTATGGCTTAGAACTCCCTGTCCCTCTGGTTTTGTCTTCAAATGTTCTCAGGAAAGTCTCCCACCCTCATTCTATTCTAAAACCAAGGTCTCCCCACTCAGTGTCATTTCCCTTCCCTCATTTTCCATATGCAATCTATCCATCTCACCTCCTCTTCAATTCTTTCTACCTACAACCAGGTAATGTCACTCTCCACAAAAACTTGGTTTGACACCTGGAACTCATGAAAGGTAGGAGAGAAACAACTTCACAAAGTTGTTCTCTGATGTCCACAGGTATAGACTGTGGCACACACATGCTATTAGCAGATACCCACTATGTGCACATTTCAGGCATTCACCTGTTGATGACTGTTTATGCCGATTCAGTACATTTTGGCTTTTGTGAAAGCCAATAATAAACATGAACAGTTGTCTAAGGAGTGGTTAACTGCTAGGTATTTTTTTCCCTTTTGAGACAGGTTCTACATTTATCCCCAGAACTCACTTTGAGAGACCTCTATACTAATTTCCACACTGGGTAGCTTCCCCCTTTACTTTTTATGGTGCGGGGGTCTTGAACCCTGGGCCTTGTGCATGCTAGGCAAATGCATTATCACTGAGCTGTATCTCCAGCGCTTAGCTTTTTCTTCTGATCTCAGTTCATGCTGTACTTACCAGTGGACCTTTACCTCGTCATGGAGGCAGGCAAGACAATAGTTGAGTGATGGACAGCTTCTCCATGATGCCTAAGTCAGGTGCAGCTTTATACTCAGGTTAATCACAGGTCCCTGAGACCAGGGACTGATTTTGTTACCCTGTTTCCCTTGGACGATACACAATGTCTACGCTGTTTCAAAAATTTGCTCAGTAAACAGATTAATGTCCAAAAACCGTGGCTGTTTTTTCATAGATCATTCTATATTATTAAGGAAATAAGTAAAAATATATTTAAATTAACATTTCTTTTACAGGGTTGAAATTCAGCAATAGGAAAGGTACATGTTAAGATGTAGCTTGCTTTTATTTTCTATTTTGTGCTACAGTCAACATAGCACAACAATTTTCATCACTACTGAGTTTCTGGTGCAAGGCTGAGAAGACAAATGTGCAAAAGCCGACTGTACAGAAGAAAATCTTTTAATGCAACAGCAACACACAGTTCAATAAAATCAGTTCAATTAACTTCAACATATTAACAACAACAACAACAAAAACAAAGAAGCCTGAGGGGCTGCTGTTGGGGGAAAGGTCAGTTCCTGCTCAGACTGGAGGGACACGAATCTCAAGGAGGCCTCTCTCCCCATCCCAGGAGGAATTTGGGCTCTTTGAACGCGTAGGTAGCTCCATACAGAAGGCAACAGCACAGAGCCTCCAAGGGTCAGGCTCTGCCTTCCCACAAAGGGCCTGGACTAAAGGCACTGGGGCTCAACACAGGACACTGTGCCAAGGACAGGGTGCAGACAGCAGCTGTACCCTTGGGGAAATGGCAGCCTTGGAGAACCAGCTCAACAGGCCGCTTCGGGTGTAGGTAAGCCAGCACTTTAGCCTGTCAACACTACCCTCTCAGCTCAGATTA